GGATGCGGGAGAATAAAATGATTTGCGGGACTCCCGCAAAATAGAAATATCTAAACATAAAATGTCTAAAAACATAAATTGTTATTTATCTGTTGCACAAAAGCAAAAAGAACTACTAACATTAACATTAAAATTATTAACACGCAAGCTAGGCAGAGTTTCTATTTATAACACGTGTTTAAAGCGTTGTGCAATGTAGCCAATCACAGACTCAGCTGTTGATTTCTGGAACGCAGTGGCCAATCAGAGGTGATTAAGTTAGAATCCACTCACAGCAGTGCTGAAATTGCATGCTCACGAATCCTCCCATTTTAACACGAAGTGTAGACATTGTGAAAGATTCACTGTGCATTTATTAAGTGTGTTATAACAGAGCTTTATGAGATCGCGATGAACTGAGAGGTGATAATCAAAGGAGCGCTGTTCGGGGTCTCTACTTCGGAGCAGGTTCCCGATTCTTTTGATTCATATCGGGACTTTGGAGCGCATATTGTGAATTGTTTGATTCAGACCGGGTTAATAAAAACAAAAAAAAATTGAAGAGAGAATGAAAGAAAGAATACATAAAGATGTGTTGCCAGGTTTACAAAAAAAGTAATAAATGTACACCTTAAGAAGAGGACGAAAAAAAAAAGAAAAGAACAAGACACAGAGCTTTTCGAGTCTCCGAATCAGTGAACAGTTGAAAAATACTTATTGTTACTAATTCTGCCATATTTACATGGTGTATATTTATACAACAATGTTCATGAATATGCATGGTCCCTATTAAATAAACCAATAAATAAATAAACCAGCTGCGTGGCACAATGATTAAAGCGCTCATGCTGGCGCACATGCTGGTCAAGACTGTGTAAATGCAACAACTAAGTTCAAACATGTCAAATGTCATCTTTTACGAAACAAAAATGCATGTAAAATTTTATCACCAAACACCATTACATACTAAATGCATGTATAATATATGTTATTTTATTAATTTGTAGCGTGTTTTGTTTTGTGTGTGTGTGTTTCTTTAATGAAAGCCTGGCTAAACAGACCAAGTGACAATTAACTATACTCTTTAATTTTTCTTACTCGAAGATGTTATTAAAAATTAAATACTATAGAGTAGTGAATTATGATCTGAGGTCCTGTGGTTTTAGGGGCATGAGTGATATAATGTCATACTTTTGGTCAAATAAACCATAAATCAACTGAACTGGTCCATTTGTGTTCAGAACATTCTGATTCAAATGAAAGTGGAAATGTTTGTTTTAACAGGCAGGCTGTGTTTAGTCTTGAATCAGTGAATCAGTGAATCAGTGAAGAGTGAAGAGTGGCTGTGTGAAGTGACACATACGAGGTAATTGTCGTCCTGGAAAGCGTAATGTAGTTCAGTGATCCAGCGCCGGTCTCCTTTCAGCAGAACCTCCTGCTCCTCCTGATAACACGCCGTCTGAACGCACACAGCTCTCCATTAACACTCCATTATAATTAAACCCAGCTAACAGGGAACGTTCTCAGAACGCTGGCTAATGTTCTCTCAAACATTCTTCCAGTGACACTAACAGAACATTCTTTCAAAATGATCTGGGGCCGGACTCACAAAACATTCTTAAGAAGACATTTATTTTTCTAACTTAAGAAAAAAGTTAAGAATGTTTTGTATTCCCAAAAATTCTTCTTAAGAATATTCGTCTATTTTTTTCTTAAGATTGTTCTTGAGACCAAACTTCAATAAAAATCATCGTAAATAACTTCTCAAAGTTAGGATAGCCCCAGACTTGTCTTAAATCCCAAATAGTAAGACTTATTGAAAGAATTCATTGGGTTATTTCAAATTAATTGTTAAATTTAAGCATTATAACAACACTAGTAGGACTGTTAATAGTGATGTGCACAAGTTCTCTGAAGTGACAGCGATGACGATGAAATTTGTAAACTTATTTCTTAAGAAGATGTTCGTGAATCCGGCCCCTGGTCTTTAATAATGTTCTCGAAACGTTAGCACAAAAACGTTATTTATACATTGTTCATAGAACATTTTATTTCTGAAACATTTTGGTTGGGCTTTCATCTAACGTTTTTAATGTTACAACTTGTTTCAGAACGTTACATTCAAATGTAACAATCTCATAATAAATAATGGAATGTTGCTTAAAAGTTTGCACTTTTTAAAAAACTGGACAGAGAACATCCAAATAATGTTTACGCAACGTTAGCAAAGCGTTCTTAGAACATATTTTTGTTAGCTGGGAATCTAAGTGCTTTTAGAGAAGATGCACGCTAGTTTTTGTTGTTTACCTCTCCACGCTTCAGTATGTTCCACTTGTTCATGATCTTCAGCGCGTAAACCTGCTGTGTGTTACGCATGCGGGCCAGAGCCACCTGTGCATTTACACCTCAGTCAATATATTAATACTCATCCGCTTCATAACAGAACCAGCACAAACCCTCTCACCTCACTGAAGGTTCCTCGGCCGATCACCTTTAAGATGTCAAAGTCATCCCTGCTTATCCGAGTCTTCTTCACCTGTCTGACCAGAGGCTCTGCTGCGAATATCAGAGGAGAGAGAACATCACACAACACAACCATAACGATAAAGCTTTAATAATCACTCTAGCTTTAAGAGAATAGCAAAGTCCACGTAACGCATTACAAGTAACTCGAGTTATGTAATCAGATTACTTTTTCAAGTAGTGTTCGTAACACGTTACTTTTCAATTTACAAGAAAATGTCTTACAAATATAATTTATGTATTTAATCCCATTTTATTAACCAGTGTGTTTGTTGCTGTGCTGCTGTTCTGGATTACATGAAGAATAAGATGCAGTAGAAGAAAGTTCTTAGCTTTTGAAAGAAGAAAATTCAAAGCTAAACAAGATGATTTTTCTTACCCCACTGGCAGATATTTTTGCTTGTTTTAAGGTAAAACTAACAACATTTTTTTACAACAAGACATAATATCTTAAGTCATTTTACGTGTACAGTAAATTCATCTTGATTCAAGAGTTTTTAGATATTTACACTA